AAAATTATTTTATTATTTTTTTTTTATCAATGTATTTACAGTTTATTAAATAAATCTATCTAACTAGTCTATTGACCGGTTAGACTTTTAACTACATAAGTCTAAATGGAAAAAGAAAAAAAGTAAGTTAGACGTTTCATCTTACTTGGTATTTGTGAATTCGAATTACGCTGTCATAGAGTTATAGAAATATATTCTGAATTCATACTTGTTTGATGAGGATATATTTTATTATTTCTCGAGAAACTGATATCGGAGTTGAAGTTATATCTTCGAGATGTCGGTACTGCAAACATTGATGAAGAGAATTTTCGTACTCATATATTTTTTTATTTAGATATCGAATTACAAATCAGGACATAACTTCGAAAGTATTATACGAAAGATAGCTGAAACAAATAGATTATTAGCATCTGAAATAAAAGTAACTCAAGGTGATAATGGTATCGATATTATTGTGACATATAAAGAAAAACTCATTCTTATACAATGTAAGAATGTAGAAACTCCGGTAACTGTTCATATTGTAAGAGTTTTCGAATCAGCACTTTCAAGATTTTTGCCAGATTCTTTAGGTCTTATTGTATATAATAGTGAAAAATTAGTTGAAAATTTTGCTACTCCTAAAGTCAAAAATTGGGCTCTAACATCTAAAAAGAATATTAAAATTTGTAATGAAAAAGAGTTTGTTGAAATTATTAAGAATTTTTTCGAAAATGATAATGATGATCATATAGAATTGATTAACTATATGGCAGATAGTTTCGATTTAAATAAATTAGTTAGAAAAAATGTTTCTGTAAGTAAAATTATCATTCGTAAGAATAAGAATGTACATAGAATTACTCCCTATTAGTGTCTGTTCAGTTTAATACCGAACAGATTTTTCTCAGAGTATTTCCTTATAATAAATTTATTATCATTTAAAATGCATCAAACTATTTTTTTATGTTTTTTATTTTCATCTTTTGTTTTTCTCATTTTGAGAAAGGTAACTAAGAAACCTAAAATCATCGTTTTTACAGGAACTATCGGTGTTGGCAAGACTACTTGTGCCAAGTTATTCGAATCTTTTCTTAAAACAAAAGGATTCACTGTAAAACGTTACAAAGAAATTTCATTGCAAGTTAACAAAGAATTTCATATATTCAATAAAGACAAACCCAAGAATTTTCTTTTTTTCCAATACGTTTTGTTTCAACACTTCAAACAACAAATTTGCGAAATTAAAAAGAACAATTTTAGTTTTCCACGTTTTCTATGGAAAGTTGATTATATTATTCTCGATTGTACTCAGAGGGATATGAAGATATTCAATAAATTTTTGCAAGATCCAAGCGAGAAAGAATATATCGACAAAAAAGTCGATGTGATCGAAATATTAGACTACTATAAAGTTGTTTATGTAACTGTTTCAATCGAAATGTCTATTGAATGACAGCAAAAGAGAGCTCGTTTTGGTGAATTAGTCGAAGAAGAGTATTTAGAAACGCTTAATAATTATTATTTTAAAGATATTGATTTGGTGTATC